CCTAAACCCTGAACCCCTAAACCGTGGTCTTCTCAAGGCCAAGCGGCTCGGGGCTCTGCCCACTTCTTGGTCTTCGCTGCTCCTTCTCTTCAGAAGGTTTTTGATTCCGGGTCTGTGGTTTAGGAATATAAGGGTTTAGGGTGGTCTGATTCAGAGTTTAGGGTTCAAGAATTAGGGATGCATGGCTGAGATGTTGCAAAATGCCCCGAAGAGTTGTCATGGCCTCCGACTCTAGAGCTCGGGGTTCGGAGCTTAGGGTGAGAGCTTTCGTGTTGCGAGAACTGTACGATGTTTAACATGTAATACATACGTACATGTATACATACATATATATATATATAGAATATGAGAGAGATCCGGCAATATTTAGGTACCCTATGGAATATCATTATGTGTAGTTGGTCAGGCCCCTAGTATTACAGCGACCTATGAAGCCCAAAGTCCCAGGCCTTTTCTTCGTCGGCTTCCAGCTGCTGGGGTGGCCGCCATGAGCTGCGCTGACTTGGTCACCTCGAGGACCCGAACACTGAGACATGATATAGGATTTTAGGGTTTAGGGTTTAGGGTTACGGCAGGGTACAGGGTATAGTATACGATGATTCTATGAAGAGCTAGGTAACTAGTTATAGTATATGAGAGCTACGAAAGACAAGGATATTAAAGTTAAGTATTCCCGACTGTATATTACAGGGTCTGGGCTGCAGGGCTTAGAGCTTGAAAAGCTCAGCCTGCAGGGGTAAGACCCGTTTGGTTTAGGGTTCTAGGGTTTAGGGTGTGCCAAGCGCCCTGTCGTCGCCCAAAGACTGGCTTCAAGCAACGAAATCCCTCGGACCCCGAAGCAATGAATCTCGGATTCCCTAAACCCGAACACTATATAAGTCTCGAATCCCTACATTCCGAACCCGAAAATTTCCAAGCCCTAACTCCTGAACCGGCACGAGGCCTAAAGACCTCAACAGGGCCTCAGGGGTATGGGCTTGGTGGAGCTGCTTCCGTCCGAGTATCAAGACAAGGCATCCTTGTTGATACACACTCACGACTGTTCCCAAGAAACCTGCTATATTACTCTGTGCATATACATGCATGTGTATGTATGTATGTATGTATGTATGTATGTATGTATGTATGTATGCATGTATGTATGTATGTATGCATGCATGTATGTACATACACATATTTGAGTATGCACATTCACGCGCACTCACTCTCTGTCTCTCTCTGCAATCCTAGAGCTCTATGTAGACCCAGAGAGCGCCAGCAGAAACCTACAAACAACCAAGTCAAGCCATGATTCCTGAAATACACCCCGCTTCATATGCCCCAAAGCCCCTGCAAGCCCGCCCTAAAAACCTACGGCCCCTGGTCAGCCCGTTAAAGCCTCTACAGCCCAACAGTCCTCTACCCTTTGAACCCTTTACCCCAAAACCCTCAAACCCCAATCAGAGGAACCCTTGTACTAGCTCTTCTTTAAACCCTTATAAAGCCGCTTAAAGGAACCCTATCCAGGTAACGAAAACTCTTATAGAATCCCTTGGAAAGCCCGTTTGAAGGAATCGTTGAAGGAACACCATCCTAGTTCTATGTTGTATACGACTCCATATGAGACCCTAAACCCTAAATCTTAGACATCTAAACCCTTATTATGGCTCTTGTAGAAACTCTTAAAAGGCCTTGGTGAAGGAACCCTTAAAACTAGAAAGGTAAAAGGAACCCTGTCCTAGTATAGTAACTCTTACAGAACCCCTTTATAACGCACTTTAGATGGAACCCTTTAAGAGGAACCCTTAACAAGAGCCCTTGAAGGTTACAGAATGGTACATATTACACAGGGAGAGGCCTCCGCGAGCTTCTCGAGGCCTGAGAAGATCATGGCTCGTTCAAGCTGTCGTCCTAAGACCTCAGATAGGGTTTAGGGTTTAGGGTTTGGGTTTGGGGTTCAGAGTTTAAGTTTTAGGGTTTGCGGTTTGGGGTTTATTTAGGGCTCCGTAAGGACTCAGGGTTCCAGAGTGGGTCGCAAGGGCTCCTTTAAATGCTCGTTTGAGGGGACGTAAAGGCTATGGGTTCCACGTAGACTTACGGTTCTAAGCCTAAGGGTCCATGTGCTCATACATGGCATATACATTGGCCTTACAGTAGTTTAGGCTTTAGGGTTTAGGGGTTTGGGGGTCCCTACGAAGGTATTTTAAAGCCAAAGTATATGCTCTATGGGCACATGGACCCTTTAGGGATACCCAAAGGGGCCTAAGTACCTAGGAAGGTAGAATGTGGGGTCTCCATATTAGGAATTGCTACTGTGATTCGGGGAAGTATTCCCCATAACAGTACCTAGGACCTTTTGGGAAAGCGGGTCATAAGGATTCCTTTAAAGGCTCCGTTAGGGGTTCTAAAGATAAGGGTGTAGGGTTTAGGCTGCCGCGACTTGGGTCTCTACAAGGGGTCAGAAGGGGTGTGCAAGGGTAGGGTTTAGCACACAAGGTTTTAGGGTTGTAAGAAGGGCTCTGCGAGCGGCAGGTTTTATGGCTTAAGGTTCTAGAAAGGGTCATAAGGGTTCTATGAGGGGTTGGGTCTAGGGCTTAGGACTTAGAGCTCTTGTGCCAGGTCATAAGGGTTCTAGATTGTCAAGTTTCAGCTGAACCGTAGAAGAAGCACGATGCGGTTTTAAGCTTTCTTCTTGTGGCTTCTTGTGTACATCCTGACGTCCACAAATCACACGTGTAAGATTCGATATGGGGCTGTGGGGCTCAAGGAGTATTCTAGGTTTTGGGCTTAGGGGCTTAAGGTCTTGTGCAACGGGTCGCAAGAGTTCAAGAAGAGAGGGCTCTACAAGGGGTCTGTGTGGGGGTTTAGAGTCTGGGACGGTTGGGGATTTGGGGTATGCTTGGGAGCATCCGCACCACGGCTTGCACATCCCTGCGGCCGAGTTCTCCTGTCAGTTTGTTTGGTTGTTACTGAACATTTGTTAGTTGCGGACCCCAGGGCCCCAGGGTCTGTATGATGCGATCTTGCCAGGACTCCTAGAACCCTTCGACGAACTTCCTCTGGCCGCCCCTCTTGTCGGTCAAGGCGGCCTGGTGTCAAGCATACTTGCTGCTCACCGGCCTCGTCGTGCCAGTGCCAGAGTCGCGTGCAGCTCCTGTGTCTGCCTCAGTGGTGCCTGCATCGCGCTTGTAAGAGTACAAGCGCCCCCCAGAACTGCTGCTTTTGGAGGTCGCTGTGACCTCGTGACACCCTACCTTGAGCAGCGTGCCACGCTTCTGCGGGTCGTTCGTCACATGGGTCAGCTTGAAAGCAAAAACGGAGGTGAAGGCCGACGTTTGGGGGCTCATTGAACAAGGAAGTTGAACTCTCCAGGCGCCTGGCAAAAGCCCCTCAACTCTATGGACTCCTCGACTCGACTAAGCCCCTAAATCCCAAACCCCTAAACCCATAAAACCCAAAGCGCAGACCAAATAGCCCTTATAAGTAGGGGCCCTATACCATTATACTATGAATCCCTATATATGAACCATAAACCCTTTGGGCGTTCTTTTCGTCCTTAAGGCAAGCGAAGTGGCCAGGGCAGCTGCTGCGCTCTCATGTCGAAATGCGGCCTCGTCTCTTCCAGGGAAATTTTGGGTTAGGGTTTAGGGTTTAGGGTTTAGGGTGTAGGGTTTGGGGTTTGGGGTTTAGGGTTTACGGTTTCGGGTTTGGGGTTTAGGGTTTAGGGTTCAGGATTTGTGAGGGGATTATAGGGCTTTGGGTGTAGTCACTACTAGAATGCACCATAATTTGGACCGTATTCCGCCAAGGGTCCCATGTCCCCAAAAAGAATAGACTTTGGCCCCAAAGTATCCAAATAGGGACTACTTTCTTTTTTGGTACATGGACCCTTAGAGTGATGTTATAAGCTACTATGCTCGTGTAGAGGAATTTGTGCCAAGAGCTAGACGCTGTAAATTATACTATAACGTAGGGGCCTTATACTAATTAGAATAGGGTTTAGGGGCCCTTCATACTATACTTAAAATAAGGAACCCCCCAGAATGATCTAGGTATTTATTTAGGCTCCCCAAACCCAAAACCCTCAACCCTACCCCCAAAAACCGACCCTAACCCCAAAAAACCCTAAACCCTAAATCCAAAATGCCCCAAAAACCCCAAACCCAAAATGCTCCTATATTATCTTCAGCCGGCTGACCCCTCAGGCGTCAATGCTGGCCTTTGGGCTTAGGCTCAAATCCTAAACCCTGAGGGGTTCCTTTAAAGGGTTCCTTGAAGGTTTCGATAAGGGCTACCATAAGGGTTTAGGGTGTAGGGGCCTTATAATAACTAGAGTAGGATTTGGGGGTATATTATACTATAACTTTCATAAAGAACCCCGGAAATAGTATGGGTAATTATTAAGGCACCTATATTAAGCTCTAAACCGTGAACCCTGGACCCTAAACCCTGAACACCTAATCCTGAACCCTCAACCCACAACCCTCAACCGATCTAGTGTTTAGGGTTTAGGGTTTGGGGCTGCCTCTGGGATGAAGGATAAGTCCAAACTGAGCGAGACTACATCAAAGACCCGAGAAGAAGGAATCTTGAACTACCGAAGAAGCCCACAAAACTGAAACCAATATTTCGCAGAGTTTCCTAACCTAACTTTACTGACAATGTTGTTCGCCGAGACCCTATATTACGAAGTTGCTGATGGTTGAACCTCAAGAAGCTCGTAAACCTCCAAGCCGTGTGGTGTTGTTCTCGTGCTTCCCTGGCTCTTCTTGCTCACAAGCACTCCAGAAGCATCAGCAGCATCCTGGCTTCGACCCTAAACCCTAAAACCCTCAACTTCTGGCCCAGGAGGAAATCCTATTCATCTACTTCCGGCGGCGGTGATGGTGATGGGAAACATTCAAGACCCCTAAACCAGAACCCTACGCCTCTAACCCTCGACCCGAAGCCCTCAACCCAAAATGGCGATGAAGAGTGGGTTCGGCACTCCCAATGTTAACCCCGCCGCACCTGATGATCCAGTTGCTCCAGCCAGCTGGAGCCTACATCGGAACCCGGGGAAGGGCGTTTACAAGCGGATGCCCCAAAGTAGGATCTCTTGATTTAGGGCTTTCCCTTCCATGCTGACATTGTAAGTTTGGAAACCTGTTGCAGTGGCTGCTTCAACCGGATTCCCGACTCAGAACTGCAGAGATACTCTGAAAACTCAAGCCTACCCAAAACCCTCAACATTTGGCTAGACCCATCGTCGAACATGGCTAAGCACCTGGCCAGAGGACCCTTTCCACCCGATCCTGAAATATGAACTTCCTTCATGTCCTGATCGGCACAGAGAATTGCGAACTTGAGCCCTTAATTCCCGACCGCCATGTGCGGTTCTTCCCAAATCAACTACTGTGACAGGCTAAACAATATCTCAAGACTAGTCGGTTTGAGATTTAGGGTTTCGGGCTTGGGGTTCGCGTTTCGGGTTTAAGGCCCTACAAAACCCATGTTCATCGGGCTTTGGGATCTTGCACCCTGGCCTTTGGAGAGCATCCACGCGCAGGGCGCGAAAAGGTTCACCGCCCAGCAGGTCAGCCTTCGGCTTGAGAGGGCTCTGTACTTCAAGGGTTACTAGCATAGTTACTTATAGTTGCTGTAAGGCTTCTAGGATAAGGGGGCCTTCATAACTAGATAAGATTTCGGCGGGGTAGCATATGGTCCGAAAATTAAGGAGCATAAGGGTATACATATACTATTTATTCCGACCCCTATATCCACTCGTCTTACTTTTTGCACGGTCGGGAGCCATGATGCTCACCTTCTGCAGGAACCTCACTGCTTCAGGTGTCTAATGCAGATGCCTCAGATATTTCAAGACTATGTTACAATGCCTGGGGCGCGCCGAACTCCTGTGCCGTCCAAGCCCACATCCCAAAACCCTATAAACACATGTTCGTGGACTACTGTAGGGGCCTCATTAATTAAATTAGGGTTTGGGGGTCTACTGTTTAATTGTATAACTGTAAAGGGAACCCCCAGAAATTGTATGGGTATTTACTCATGCTTCTGTATTGAACGGCTTCCTGTAATGCTCTTTCTGCCTGCAGTTGAGGGTCTAAGCTTGCTTCTCATAGGTATGCTTGCGCATGTGACCAGGACGGCAGCATTGTCATGTCTTCAGTCTTCAGGTTGCATGGGAGACAGCGCAGAAACCAGTGTACATGTCAGTGCCAGTCCATGCAAAGCTTCAGATCTTGTTTTCTGTGCGAAAAAGAGAAGTTCTTTGAGTGCACGTCCTTGATTCATGGAAGACTCGGCAGTGCGTGCTGAATCGAGTTCGAATGTGTTGGGAACTCCCGAACAACAGGCTATGAGCGCCCGAGCATTAGCCTCCTATCGGCCCTAAATGCAGCACCTCCAACCAAAACCTGCGATGGCCCCTAAGCCCCTAAACCCATAAACCCCTAAGCCCCTAAGCCCCTAAGCCCCTTAACCCCTGAACCCTAAGCCCGAAACCCTAAACCCTAAGCCCTGCAATCAGTCTCGTGGACCTCGAGCTCTCCGGCGGCAGACACCCTGGAGCCGGACACAAGACGACGACCAAGTCCTGAACATGGGCAATTATAGGGTTTAGGGGCCTATTATAAGCTATTTAGAGGGTTTAGGGGCCTATTATAGGCAGCTTTTTGCAATTTATGGGCAAACTTCGAGCGGCAATGTCAAACAAGCCCTACTGCAAGCTTAACCGGACAAGCCAGATTCTGAACCCTTCAAAGCCTGATGGTCCAAAGAAGGGATCAGAAGGCAATTTCAGGCCGTGATAACTACAAGGGTTTAGGGTTTAGGGTTTAGGGGTTAGGGGTTAGGGTAGGGTTTAGGGTTTAGGGGTTAGGGGTTAGGGTTAAGGGTTGAGGGTTTAGGGGTTAGGGTTTAGCAGCACACCCTTCAAGGCATGATTTAACATGTCAAGGTTTGCTTTGCTCTGCTTCGCTAGGAGACCCAGTAACTTGGGAACAAAAGGGCTCGCCACTTGTTGGTCTTGGGTAGTGCTAATGACACCAGTAAAAAGTGTTGAAAAGGGCCCACTGGGAGACCTAGTTAACTTACGTAATCTACTATTAACCAAACCTTCGATGGAGTGGAGATGTGCAGTGGCCGAAATTCCGAGCGCCGATACCCTAAACCCTAAACCCCGAAACCCGAAACCTTATACCGAGACTGCGACCCCGAAACCCTAAACGCAAGCCGAGGTTCCGAGAGTTCGAGGAAGCTCGGATCGACGGCCGGTCGGAAGTCGGCGACGCCTTTGGTCCGAAAGGGTTTAGGGTTTAAGGCTTTTGATTTTGAGAGGTTTAGGGGTTTATGAGGGTTGAGGGTTTAGGGTCAAGGATTTGGGGGTTTTAGGTTTAGGATTTAGGATAAAGTGTGGGAGGTATATTCTACTGTGGTTGTACAGGGACTCTGAGGGAAGATGAGTCCGACAGACCACATAGGCATGATGTACCTGTAGCCCAAACCCTACAAACTAGTAGCTAGGTTATGATCCAATTACAAGGCACAGCCCCCTGAACAGTAGGCTTTGGATCCACAGATAGACACTGGGGTATGTTATGGAAAGGAGCACTAAAGAATAAGAGAATAGGGTTTTGGGGGTCCTTTCTAGTATATGTATAATAAGGACCCCCCCACCAAAAAAAAAAGAAACAGTATGGCTACATATTATAAGGCCCCTGTATTACTAAAAGATCCGACCCCTTAGATGCCTTCCTTATATCAATGCTTGCTTCGGCGAGGCGCCGCGCACTCCACAGTGCAAGTCACCATCCTGCCGCCGCGGCGCTGCGGAAGACAAGAACCCCATGGGAAGGGAACAACGCAACTCTAGAGACAGCAAAAGCGCTTAGGGTTTAGGGTCTACAAGCAAGATGTATAGTCTGAAGCCTTATGGACGAAAAGAACCCCTAAAGGGTTTAAGGTTCATATATAATATAGAGATTCATAGTATAATGGTATAGGGCACCTACTTATACGGGTTGCTTGGTCCCCAAGGCAATGCCAAGGGGATCCAGGGTCGGGTGGGGGATTCCTGGTCGGGCGCATATGCAGGACGGTTTAGGGTTTAGGGTTTAGGGTTTAGGGTTTAGGGTTTAGGGTTTAGACAGTCAAAGTCAGGAACTTCACGATGGCTTGTAGACTTGTTCACACGAACTTCGTAACACACACAAACACAGAGACACAGCGACTGTACTTTACGCGAATTTAATATGTGTATATATATATATGATGCTCCATATTATACTCCATCGTAGTAATCAAACTGATCTCACCAGATACTTGCAAGCGTTCAACACCAAACTCCTAAAGCCTTGGGCCCCAAACCACCCCAAACCCCAAACCCTAAACCCTGTTGCACCTCCGGTGCACAGGCTCTAATATATCGGCTTTAATGATTACGATAGTTGTTCTTTGAAGCGGGGGGGGGGGTAAATCCTGGTATAGGATATAGGCATAATAGGAAACCTAGGAAATTTCGTTTGAAACCAAATTTAGGCTTTGTATCTGACGCTGTGCTCTACACCCACCGATTCCCTGCGGCCTCCCATCGAGCGTCTGGTGCTTCAAACGATGCATCGGCTTTGATCATATCCTGGACGCACGATGCTTGTGTCATGCCTTCTGGTGATTGATCCTCCGATTTCTTTAGTGAAGTGCTGTGGATTGGCACAAGTTTAGGGACGAGGGCTCAGGGTTTAGAGGTTCAGCAGTTCTCATTGAATGTTCACGGGATGTAACCGTTCAAAATGCTACGGGGGTGCAGAATGAGCTGTGTGGCGTGGTTGCCTGCACATGCACGGTGTACACACCCGTCGAGCTCATTGCAAGGTGGTTTTACACAAATGGAGTGCGAAAAAACCTTGCCCAGCTCTTGCTCCACGCAAGCCTAGCCTGGTATCGTCTATGCAGGCAGTGTAGCACTTCTCACGTGGCAATAGTGACCTTCGGAAGTCCTTAGGGTATTCTCGGGGAGGCTATCTACATCTAACTAGACCTATATCTAGATCCATTACGCTTTAGGGTTTAGGGTTTAGGGTTTAGGGTTTAGGGTTTAGGGTTTGGGATTCAGAAGCTATACGCTTTAGGGTTGGGGACGTTTGGATTCGGGAGTAAGCCGCAGTCCAAGCGTCCCACAGCTGCCGATCTAGGCCAATGCGGCGGTCCAGAACCAGCCACTCATAGTCCATCTCCCAGAATCTTTCCTGCGCGGGACTTTGCGGCTCTGGTTCAGGATGATGTAGGGATCAGTTCAAAACCCTCGGGGTACGAATGATCCATGCATCCACGATGTTGGAAGAACGCTGGCAAACAAGATGCGAACTGGTGTGCTTCAAGTCCCAACCAATACCATAAACCCCGGTGTGCAAACATACAATCCTTTGACACGATCGTAACCTTTGATCGAAAGCCGCAGCCCTCACACTCAAAGCCACACTGCAGAAGCCTCAACAATCCAACTTTCTTACATCCTCGCCTGTAAGCGCTGAAAATAAACACACTGTGCCCTTCACAATATGAATTGAAGACGCACACCCCAGAGATTGTCTGTGCTTCAGTGCCTGCGCTCCAGCTCCAACGTAGCGGCGAGTAACGTGTCCTAACGCCGAGACCCAGGTTCATCAACCCTATATATAAAAATATATACATAAATAAATACATAAGTAAATATAAATAAATAAATAAATAAATAAATATATATATATATATAAATATATATATATATATATATATAAGATGCCAGTAGGCCTAGGTCCTGGGATTCGGATCTAGGGTTTAGGGTTTGAGCGAGCAAGGCAAGTTGAGGGTTGAGGTTGGAGGCCATGACTGGTGGTCGCGGTCGTAGATGTCAGGATTACCGAGCAGCCGAACTGTTTTGAGCATTCATGCGCTCCTGTGGCTGAGATTTGGGGCTGGGGTTTAGGATTTAGGGACCCTAAACACTAAACCCTAAACCCCTGGACCCTAAGCCGTGTGGGGTCGGTAGGGTCGGTCGTGAGCTCTCAGCGTTTGGCCTTGCATCCATGGCCATGGAGCTTTTACGTTTTCAACTGCCGCACACGCTTCTATTCTCCAGGTTTTCAGGGTTTAGGGTTTAGGCTTCTGGTGCTTAGTAGGGAATGCCATGGGGGAATGGATCCCCATGATAATCCCTTAAGGTCCCTTATAGTAGTCCTTATAACCCATTCCCCCATTCCCTGCTACGCACCAGACAGAGGTTGGATATCAGTGGAGAAAAGACCTATCATGAAAAAGGATTCCGAGCCAGAAAGTCCTGGCAAGAACCTGCACTTACACTTGAAGCGAATGCCACAAGCACACCCACACACCCACATATATAAGATATATACATAATCGAAATCGTTGTGTATATACATATATATATATATGTATACAATGTATACATAAAGACCCGAAACCGTAGATTTCCAGCCCGAGGACCAAAACGCATAAGCCCCGATAGGCTAGGCCCTGAAACCTCGACAAGCTGACGACCCAAACCCTGAACCCATAAACCCTGTGTTAAGGTTTGGCGTTGAAGGTTTAGGGCTTCGACGCCCTCAAAACCTAGAGCCTGAACAGCAATCAAGAACCTCGAAGCCCAATATCGCGAACCCAAAGCCTTGAACCCTATACAAGCTCGCAAAGCATCACACCGTGAACCCTGAACCCGAAACCCTAGACCTTATCGCATCTATTCACGCATCCTGTATAAAACCTCACACAGCCCTGTAGTATTGTGACACCAGAAACAGCCCTTGAACCCCCACGGCATCCCGCCTCGGCCCTGAAGCGTCAGAGGCCGAAGCTCTGCACAGGCCTGCTCCGCTTGATATAGGGTTTAGGGGTTTAGGGTTTTAGGGTTTTCGGTTTGGGTGTTTTAGGGTTTAGGGTTCTAGGGTTTAGGGCGGGTTTACTATGGGAAGCTCGCAGTGAGATGTTGGGAAGGAGCCAGCAGTCGAACAACCTGAGACAACAGACAGCTGTAGCATATCAAAAGTTCGTTTTACTCCAGTTGTGGATGCAGAGACGTTCCTTTACAATGGCTTTTGCACTATCCTTTCGTTGTCTTTGTTCCTAGTTGTACACTGAGCCCTCAACCCTAAACCTGTATACTTGGAGTCTTAGGTCAAGGGATGGGTTTAATATAGAGGGCCCTCATTATATCTATAGTAAACATACCCCAAAACCCTTTCTAACTTTTAAGGCCTATACAATGGACCCAGAGTCGACATCCTTTCTGAGAGGGGTCCCGAAGCCTCAAACCCCAAACTCTTTCAGGGTTTATAGGGTTTAGGGAGTTTAGGGTTCAGGGACCTACTTGTCGAGTATCCCGGTGGGGAACTAAGGGTTAACACTTTGGGAGAATTGTGATCTTACATCCCTAAACCCTGAACCCTACGGGATCCCTGAAAGAAGCTCCAAAACCAACGATTAAAATCCTGAAGCCCCTAAATCCATAAACTTTCCTAGGCGTCGATCCCAACGGTCCCAAAATTCATCTATAAGTCGGGTTCTATACGAAAAACGATATAGTAAACCCCAAAAAGTTGGAAACCCGATTAAGGACAAGTAGTGCTGGCATTCCCTATACATTAGTCTTAAGGATTGAAGCTATTGGGTTTCCAACTTTTGGGCTTCTACTCCAAGATAAGCGAAACTTCTCCCGAATCGATACCTCCTTAACCCTTAACACTAAACCCTGAACC